ACGATCTACGGAATCCTATTTATACCACACAAATAAATAAAAGTGCAATTTATCCAAATGTTATCTGCAAAACTCATTACGTATTTTTATGCTCTTAAATCTATTACATTTTTTTTTCTTCTAAAACCTAAATTTTTGAATGCAGATAATTTGAAGCTGCAAAATTGATTTATAATAACTATCCTTACCCTATTAGATTAAATCAATGGTCAAAATCCTATGAAGATTGATGACTCTATAAAACAAATCTTCTTTGAGTGTGTTCTAAACAAATAAACTACAAAATTCTGTACATTTCTGAATACATTAGCCACAACCAAGTCGGTATTATCCATGAGGGACAGTGAGAAGATTGGATTAGATTCCAAGAATACACTTTTTTGTTTGTTAAAATGCTTACAATCGACCTCTACCCTAGTTAACTGGTGTCTAAGGCCGACGACAACTTCAATGCACATAACCAGAGTCGAATTGAAATTAATTTCGTCTTTAAATTGAATAATTTTACGTTTCGTATAGAATTAAAAACTCTCGCTAATTCATAATTAAATTAATCAGTAACTATGAATTAGCGTTCCATTAACATTCAAATATCCCTATGAGAAGAACTCACTTAACTATAGTAGTTTAAATGGAACAAAGAGTAAGTTTTTTTTGTTGTACGATACATTTAATGTTTCTGTTTCATCTATTGAATCGGCAATTTGATTAAATCAATGGTTCAAGCACAAAGGATAATCAAAATCCTATGAAGATTGAGGACTCTATAAACCAAATCTTCTCTGAGTGTGTCCTCAACAAAGAAACTACAAAATTCTGTACATTTCTCAATACATTAGCCACAACCAAGTCGGTATTATCCATTAAGGACATGGATTGGATTAGATTCCAAGATTTGCAATTTTAATGCACACAACCAGAGAGTCGAATTGAAATTAATTTCTTCTTTAAATCGAGTAATTTTACGTTTCGGATACAGTTAAAAATTCTCGCTAATTCATAGTTAAATTAATCAGTATCTATGAATTAGCGTTCCATTAACATTCCAAAATCGGTATGAGAAGTCAGTTTAAATGGAACAAAGAGGAAGTTATTTTTGTTGTACGATACATTGAATATTTCTGTTTCATCTACTGAATCGGCAATTAGCAAACGTTGCTTATCGTTTAATTTCAGATTAGACGACCTACGGATTCCTATTTATACCACACAAATAAAAAGAAGTGTAATTTATCTAAACGTTATCTGCTAAATTCATTACGTTTATACACAGATAACCCCAATATAAAGGACTTAAGATTTTTTTTTATATTTTATTTATTAATTAATTAACAGAAACGCAATTTGTATATCCAGTACACCTTGACTAAATTGCTTTGTACTAAAAGAAAAAATAGACAGATTTAACATACAAAATAAAATATATATAAATATACATGTAGACACGTTTAGAACATTGCTTTTTCTCTCTCTCTCTCTATCTACATAACAAAATAATTATAAAAAATATATGTATATTATTTTCCTTCTATAAAGCACACTCTAATTGAATCGTCATCTTTGGTTAAAAAAAAAAGAATGGTGTTTGCTCGCAAATCGGAATGGTGTAGTATCTTACAGTGGATTAGATGAATGTGTAGCAGCCTTTCAAATACATTTTGTTCATCTCGTTCCTATTCCATCTTGTTAATATACTCTTCACCGAATTTTAGCTCTTTACCTGAAATATCTTCTATCGAAGACGAGGAATACGAATCTGCAACAATCGGTATTAGTATTACGAAAGATGATAGTATTTGCAATATTCACCTTCCATAGAACCTTGGAACTTATCCTGAATGTTATCTTTACTTCGGATGTATTTCCTGTACTCTTCAGAGTGTATCAACTGGTACCAGCTTATGATACCGACAATTGCGATGAAGAACAAGTTGGAGGTGATTCCTGCAGAGAAACGTGTTTTAATAAATTTGTTTGATTGAATTAGTTGCGTACGTACCGATGATTGCGGATAGGACCGGCCAATTAAACATAAAATACCGAAGACCTGTAAACTCGGCGTTGATTAGGAACTTGGCCGAGTACAGTTCGATGTACATCGATTGGATTTCAATGTAAACGTCGGTAACGGCGGGTCCGGTCTGTTCCTCGTAATTTGAGAAGAGTTCAATGTGCAGCTTCTGCTTTTCCTGAGCGGCGCCAAACAGGAAAAACGGACTGTACACTATCGTGTACAGGAACTGCAATAGTGGACTCCTGTATTCCAGCATGGCAGAGCGGCAGGATTGTGCTATCAGACTTTTCTTTCCATGGAACTGGGTGCACACCATGAACATGCCTGAAACAGTGGAATTAAAAAGATATCCTCATGGGTTAAATAGCCACTACCTAACTCCTTATTTACAGGAGATTCGGGCATCTCCAGATCTAAGAAAACCTTGTACGGTTGACCCATCATGAGCAGCTGCTGCCTGTTGGTCAACTCAACGTGGGCATTCAAATATGAATGTGGGCCATTTTCCTTGTAGTTGGCTATGTTGTCTCTAGGGCTGCAAATAACAATTTTACTCTCTCGAATGAACAACAGGTAATCTTTGTACTCACGTGAATTTCAGATGGACAGGCCTCTCGTGGGCAACTGAAGGGACGTAGGTGTAGTAGAAGGCAAGGTACATGAAGACGGATAGCCATACTAGCACTGTTGTGATGAAGGCTACAACTGTTCCTTTGATAAACACCTCTTTGGTGTTGTATATTCCAGTCTTCGATTTGGCTCTGAGCACATCCAAGGTGTTGTCTATGAAGCGAATGGCAGGCAGCTTGAAGCGAACCTTGTAGAACTCCTTTGGGCCCAAACGGAAGAACTGCACCAACAACGAGAAAATTCCGAACATATCGCCTGAAACCGCTTTTCAAATCTGAATATAACCTTTCATCCGGATACAGCTGTGCAGCTGTCACGCAACTGTCAAAGTTCAACTGATTTGCATAAATAATCAATGGCAGGTGCTGCCAATAAAATCGTACTAAATTCAAAATTCAAATTTGATAACGTCTACAATCTTAACAAAACATTCTTATATAATCCGCATATAGTAAACTTACATAATCAACTCGCACAAGTTAGAGGATTTTCCAAGAGGGAAGAAACAGGAGGAAGAAAAAGAACTTGCACAACTTAATTATGTTTAATTGTAATTACAACAATATCTGAGTCTTTACTTTCGGTGGCAATCGAAAGCCCGACAACCGAAATCCCGTCTATTGAAATCCCGACTATATCGAAATCCCGACTGTATTAAAGTCCCGACGTTTGAAATCCTGACTATATCGAAATCCCAACTGTATCGAAATCCCGACGTTCGAAATCCCGACTATATCGAAATCCCGACTGTATCGAAATCCCGACTATATCGAAATCCCGACTATATCGAAATCCCGACTGTATCAAAATCCCGACAACCATAATCCCGACTATATCAAGAAATCCCGACTGTTCGAAATCCCAGCTGGTTCAAAATCCCTGACAATCAAAATCCCGACAGAATNTTTTATATCGGTGGCAATCGAAATCTCGACTATATCGAAATCCCGACAATATCGAAATCCCGACTACCTTAATCCCGACTATATCGAAATCCCCACTATATCGAAATCCCGAGTGTATCGAAATCCCGACGTTCGAAATCCCAACTATATCCAAATCCCGACTTATCGAAATCCCGACTTGATCGAAATCCCGACGTTCGAAATCCCAGTTATCGAAATCCCGACGTTTCGAAATCCCGACGTTCGAAATCCCGACTGTATCAGAAATCCCGACGATCGAAATCCCGACTGTATCATCGACTCGAATCCCGACTATATCCAAAATCCCGACTCTCATAATCCCGAAAATCGAAATCCAGACGTGTCTTTTGAAATCCCAACTGTATCAAAATCCCGACTATATTGAAATCCCGACTGTATTAAAGAACCGACGTTTGAAATCCCGACTATATCGAAATCCCGACGTTTGAAATCCCAACTGTATCGAAATCCCGACTACCATAATACCAACAATCAAAATCCCGACTATATCGAAATCCCTACGTTCGAAATCCCAACTTTTATTATTATAAATTTCTACAATAACACTTGTATGGTAGTCGGGATTTCGAACGTCGGGATTTCAATAGACGGTCTTTCGGTTGTCGGTCTTGCGATATAGAACCCTTTACTTCATATACTAAATATCTTATAAATTTATTCACATTCAAAACTAATTTTTCAATAAATATATAAAACTAATGGAAAGGACTAGGGATATCTAAAAATTAAAATAATAACTCTTGGACGTATAATTTATTATGTATTTCTTCCATCATATTCCTTACATTTATTTATATTAATTATTATTATTTTTTTTATACACTTAAGCGCAGCCTATTAACAATTTTTTTTTTCAGTTTACTTTTATAAATATTACTTCTTTTTTTATACATATGTGTATTTATCATCTTCTTCTCACTTTGCAAAAAATCAGAAACTAGATACATCATCATCATCATCATCATCATCTTTCCCATTCGAATAATAAGTCAACAATATATTATAAATATCTCGTGAACGTTTATCTTTATGCAAAAAAAAAAAACGTTTCGTCGAAACCAATGTTATAATATAACTTGCTTCAATACTTCTTTCCTTTCTTTCTCGGATCTTCGGTATACGTACAATATAAAATGGAACTGCTCAGCTAAGTCTGCTCAGTCAGTCAATAACAACTCATCAGTATTAAAATAATTACGTTCATGTATAGTATGAATATTGGTAACTGGTTATTATTATTATTATGCGATGCTGAATTGGTGTTTATGTTGTATCCACTTGCGTACGTCATGTTAACGTTTACTATGCCTTCGGAAAGGCCGTTTGCAGATCGGACGATCAACACGTACTCCCCTATGTTGCGAACTTTAACCTCGGACAGGTACATCACCGCCTGATAACAGTTCGGAGACGTCGAATTCTGAAACACCAAATTATAATTCAACTTTATTATTCGCTTAACGAGTTTAATCCATTCCAAAATTTCCGGATTTTTTACTCGTATAATGAAACATATTGAAAAATACCGGTGGCAATCGCAAGCCCGACAACCGAAATCCCATCTATCAAAATCCCGATCTTCGAAATCCCGACGTTCGAAATCCCGAGTGTATAGAAATCCCGACGTTCGAAATACCGGCTGGCTCAAAATGCCGACGTTCGAAATCCCGACTATATCGAAATACCGACTATGTCAAAATCCCTACTACCATAATCCCGTTTTTTTTATTATTATAAATTTTTACAATAACATTTTTATGGTAGTCGGGATTTCGATATAGTCGGGATTTCGAGATAGTCGGGATTATGGTAGTCGGGATTTTGATTGTCGGGATTATGGTTGTCGGGATTTTGACATAGTCGGAATTTCGAACGTCGGGATTTCAATAGACGGTCTTTCGGTTGTCGGGCTTGCGATATAGACCCGAAAAATACACATAATATGTACAAATGTAACATGCGGGACTTCTCTTCTCATCGTCACTCGTTTTGTTATAATTTACTTTCTTGATTTGTGAGTATGGACGAAATATTATTAAGTCAAGATTCTTGAAGACAGTTTTTCTCTCCTAAAATAATACCTTGATGTTGGATGAGTGTACAATTAAAATGCTTTATTTACGTTGGAAATGGGTTGTATAGGTTTTGATGGAGAGTAATATCGAGGAGTAAGGATAATTAACTGCGGAAAGCCGTGGGTCGAATATAAAACTGTCGGGATGAAGAATTTATTGGGATATAATAAAGAATTAGGGAATTATTTCAAAAGGACAGTCGCGTCTTTATTACGTCTCTCCGGAGGAACTAAAGAAGGAAGGAAGGAAAGGGGCAATAAATTTGTCCTAATGAAGGTAAACCGCCGAGAACGAAGAACTCGTACTTTTTGTCATTCTATCTTTATATATATATATATTTGACTTTTATTATGCAACGTTTTCTTTACGAGAAGCGGTGTGTATTAACTAATTAGTGGAAGCGAAAATTGGGATTAAGATTTGAAACGGATGGATGAGATAAGATATTTGGCGCGTTCGCTCTCTCTCCTTCCCCAAAAGTTTAGATCCATTTAAACGCGCCAATTAAGTATTTAAGATTTAAGCTGTAAACCGTGTGTCTATATATATAGTTATAGATATATAGGTAAGGTTATATATGTAAGGAGAAGGTATTTCGTTAATAAATTGCGTGCACCGAGGGTGGAAATATAAATTGGTCGTCTTACCGTAATGTAGTATGTTAAGATTTCGCTATCAGACTCTCCCGGCTTGTACACCCTGTCTTTAGCTATCCAATAAACTTTATTGTACGTCGGGTTGGCACAGAATTCCATTGTCAGAGTCAGCGGTTGTCCGTATACGGCCGTTATTGTTTTGTTGTGCGGGAAGATCACGGGTCGACCTGGAACAAAGAACGGAATTGCAACGAATGATGAGATATATATTCTGAATTACATTTTCAATTGCAATTTAAATGTTTGCAGAATACATTGTTCACTTTATTAATTCGAGCCGCAAGAAACATGAACATTTCAATTACGAAATTATATATTTCTTATGTTTGTCTTTACATTTTATTAAATATTTTAAAAAATATACATACTACAAATACAAATTATGAATGTAATTAAAGACGAAACTTTAGGCTATATAATGTGTACTGAAATATATTTGTGGTATTTACAGTTTTGTTGTAATTAGCTATTAAAGTTATAAAATATATTAATGTAACCATTGTTCATGTTTCTTTGTATATATTGTAAACCATACATACAACTAATAAGGAGATATAATGGATTTAAAGCATAAAGTATAAGCTATAAACTAAATGGAGTCCCAAATTTGTAACATTTCTAGTTTTCTTGTAATTTGCTGTCAAAGTTGAGAAGAGATTGAATAAAATAATGCACATACCAAAAACATAAATTAATAATGTAATATAAACCAAATTTTAGCTTTTAAATTGAGAACAATATTCTCATATTTTATTTTACTTGAAAATCAAGAAGGACAAGAACACAATTTCATAATAAAAATTAATACCAAAACTATGAGATTTATAGTGACTATTATACTTGTGTTTTTTAGTTAAAAGTTGTCAAAATTATTATTGTCACATTGGACATCCGTACAAACATAAGTTAATGGTAAAATTATAGATAAAACTATAGACTTTAAAATAAACATATAATATATGGACAATATTCAGTTTTCTTAAAATAAGCTAAAATTATGAGCTCAAATTATTTATATATTCTGTAATAAACTGAAAAAGTTGAACCTTTTTATTCACTAACTGCTAATTAGAATGCTTAAATTGCCTTGTTTTCTAATATAAATTACGTTGTCATGGTTTTTGTTTGTTACTAAGATCAATTTGAAGTTGAATGATCTAACAGCTGTCAACAGTTGAAACCGTCAGATTTCCGAATAATTAACCAATCATTTTTTCTAATATACAACGAGACGAAGGAAAGTAAGAACGAGAGACAAAAAAAATTATGAGCTCAAATTATTTATATATTCTGTAATAAACAGCCAAAGTTGAACCTTTTTTCTTCACTAACTGCTAATTAGAAGACTGAATGCTTAAATTGCCTTGATTTCTAATATAAATTACGTTGTCATGGTTTTTTTGTTTGTTACTAAGATCAATTTGAAGTTGAATGATCTAACAGCTGTCAACAGTTGAAACCGTCAGATTTCCGAATAATAAACCAATCATTTTTTCTAATATACAACGAGACAAAGGAAAGTAAGAACGAGAGAGGTAATAAAATTATGAGCTCAAATTATTTATATATTCTGTAATAAACAGCCAAAGTTGAACCTGTTTTCTTCACTAACTGCAAATAAGAAGACTGACTGCTTAAATTGCCTTGTTTTCTAATTACGTTGTCATGGTTTTTGTTTGTTACTAAGATCAATTTGAAGTTGAATGATCTAACAGCTGTCAACAGTTGAAACCGTCAGATTTCGGAATAATTAACCAATCGTTTTTTCTAATATACAACGAGACGAAAGAAAGTAAGAACGAGAGATGAAGAGAGAAAAAAAGTAAGGAACGTAATTTCCGAATCTCCGGAATAAATTATTTCCACGTCCTTCGGCGCTAAACTTTATAAAATGATGATGAATTATCGGCGCCCATCTGTTGTGAGGAAAAGTTTTCTCCCTCATCCCATCGCACACGCAGAGAGTGAGAAAGAAAGAGCCACGATTTTCAATGGATGGAATCGATGAATTATTATGGGCACGTTGGAATTTTTCGAAACAAAATGAAAGAGAAGAGTAAACTAAAAAAGAAAAAAAGAAAAGCGAACAAAGGAAGAATCTTCGAGCAGGCAATTGTCGATGTGACATATTGCTCGCAAAACGTGTGCCAACGCGCATTATCGATGCACCAATTGATTGACAATCAAGTGGACGTAGATGGAAAACAAGTTGATTTGATTATGTGCATTTTCCGATGTGGAAACAACAGTTTTCATTTTTGTTAATATTGAGATTTGTTGGATGAATTTCGTTTTGCGCGATGATCCGACCAGAATGGAATACTGAGTTTACTTTCTTGACTATCGTTGGTATGAAGAGGATGAGTACGAGGTGGAGGATGATGCTGTGCACAGCTGGGGGAATCCCCGGGTCCCTCAAGTAATAGTAGTCATTCATATTCGAATCACAGTCACCAAGCTAGGCCAGACCAAATCAAATCCGCATCCAACAAATTCATGTCTGGGAATATTAAACAATCGCAAACATCGAACGTAGCCAAAGCCACTTCACGTACCGCCAATAAATATGTAGAATTTCAACAAGACATTTTTACTATCGTTTTTCTTTTCTTATTACGTTTTATTCTCTACTCTCAGATTATATTAAAAAAAAACAATATTTTCAATTTTGTGTATAATATAATACAGGCAAATGTAACATTTTGAATGTTTATTTTCTTTGTTATACTTTTATTACAATAAACAATTCATGGACTGGAATTTAAGCTTTTTTCATATGGAATTTTAGACCAAAAAGATCTCATTTTCAATTTGTGTATACGTGGAAAGTTATTGGAATAAATGTAACATTTTGAATATTCAAATTTTTTTAAACTTCTACAGAATTTTAACAAAAATTGAAATTATTCGCTTTTAAAATAACTTTGTTATACTTTTATTACAATAAACAATTCATGGAGTGGAATTTAAACTTTTTTCAAATGGAATTTTAAGCCAAAAAGACCTCATTTACAATTTGTGTATACGTTGAAAGTTATTGGATATAAATCTAACATTTTGAATATTCAAATTTTTTTAAACTTCTACAGAATTTTAACAAAAATTGAAATTATTCGCGTTTAAAATAACTTTGTTATACTTTTATTACAATAAACAATATATGGAGTAGAATTTAAGCTTTTTCATATGGAATTTTAGGTCAAAAAGACCTCATATTCAATTTGTGTATACGTGGAAAGTTATTAGAGATAAATGTAACATTTTGAATGTTCAGTTTTTTTTAAACTACTACAGAATTTTAACAAAAATTGAAATTATTCGCTTTTAAAATAACTTTGTTATACATTTATTACAATAAACAATTCATGGAGTGGAATTTAAGCTTTTTTCATATGGAATTTTAGTCCAAAAAGATCTCATTTTTAATTTGTGTATACGTGAAAAGTTATTAGAGATAAATGTAACATTTTGAATATTCAAATTTTTTTAAACTTCTACAGAATTTTAACAAAAATTGAAATTATTCGAGTTTAAAATAACTTTGTTATACATTTATTATAATAAACAATTCATGGAGTGGAATTTAAGCTTTTTTCATATGGAATTTTAGGCCAAAAAAATCTCATTTTCAATTTGTGTATACGTGGAAATTTATTGGAAATAAATGTAACATTTTGAATATTCAAATTTTTTTAAACTTCTACAGAATTTTAACAAAAATTGAAATTATTCGCTTTTAAAATAACTTTGTTATACTTTTATTACAATAAACAATTCATGGAGTGAAATTTAAGCTTTTTTCAAATGGAATTTTAGACCAAAAAAACCTCATTTACAATTTGTGTATACGTGGAAAGTTATTACATTTTGAATGTTCAATTTTTTTAAACTTCATCAGAATTTTAACAAAAATGGAAATTATTTGGCCAAAAAACCTCATGGTTAAAATTTCATTTATTTATACATTTTGTAAAATTAAAAATTCAAAAAAAAAACCTTTTATAATACGAATAATCTTTATTTTGAATTTTATGACAATTCAAGCTTCAACTATCAGAAATTGTCAATAATTCAACGGTTGAAAGTTATAAAAGAATAAATCACCATTTTGAATATTGCAGTTTTAATTGATATTGAAATAAACATTGAATAAGATGGAAACACTAAGAAATAAAATTGATTTTCTTTTCGTTTTTTTTTTGTAATATTTCAAGCGCGTTATAAACCGTTTGGACGTTGATTAGGAACATCCTGGTTTTCGGCCGTCCGACCGGGGAATTAATTGTGAAATTCTTGGGCCGTTGGAGAAAGGTCCATCGCAGTTAATTAGAAATAGTTTCGATTTAATTAGGAATCCGGGATCGATCGATTGAATTCTTACGTTTTTAAGAAAGTACGGAATTCCCAATAACATCCGTTCAAAGATAAAATCGTTTCCTATTATGTAACTTCTAACTCTAATTTGGTTCTAAAACAGTTTCAAAATTTGCTTTTTATTCAAATTCAAAGAATCTCGTGAACACTAACAAAGAGTTCAAGTTCAAGTTTAAATATCTTATTTATATATAAGAATTACAGTTGTGTAGTTTTTTACAAAAATAAAGAGACAAAAATTACTTAAGCAAACACAGAAACACGTGATACAATGAATGTGAATTGAGCTGACAATGAATACATAGAGAAATATATGATACAATGGTGCAAAAGAAATGATAATAACTTGATCTGACAAAGTACCAAAGAAAAAGTTAAAAAGTTTCATGAAATTTTACAAAAAATGATTTCATGGAAAAAATCCAAAAAATTTTGTTTTGTTTTGTTTTTTGTTTTCAAAGAGTTTCAAATTTGTTCCTTAATCAGAAAAGAAGGAATTCAGTAAAATCTAATAAAAAAGTTATACTTACTTAATTAAGTATATATTTTTTAAGGAATTATTAATTTCATAATTGTTGAAAACTTTTGACAAATTTCAAACAACATTTTTGATGTTTATTATTTAGTTATAATTTTTCAATTGAAACAATAAATCCACTAATAAAAAAACGTAATGCAAAATATTCCTACTTCAAATTATATTGTACAAAATTTTCGCTTAAAATTTGTAAAAAAAATAAGTTTTCCTTATTTGAGTTTTTTTTTTAAATTAATAATTCAATTATATGTTGTATTTTCAACATAAAAGCTGAAACAATCTAAATATTAAAGAAACAA